TGGCGCAACACGTAATATGTGTTATCTTGACCACGAATTTCCTTGTACAGTTAATTTATGACACGCCATATCGAGTCATCAGAGCATCGGACTCAAGACCAAAAGGCCACGGGTTCGATGCCCTGTCGAATCACTCGCCGTCCTTCCCGCCGAGGTTCATAAATGATTGCTTTTCTGTCAAAAGCAAATTGGGAACCACAGATTATGTTTGTAACATGGCTACTGTCGACTTTACCCATATAAAGTTAGGCTTTCCTGGCTGGTGAGTTCTAAGTGGAGATCAGTACCCCATCATTAACTCCATGAAAAGAAGGACGCCAGTATGGCACCGTTTGGATTGATGGCCGTTGCTACCCCGGGATGGTTCGTAATAATTTGTGCACTGTACTCTTATATGGCTGTTAAATCTGTCCTGTTTCGAGGCCCCTCGTCCAAAACGGGCAGTTGCTCAAAGTATAACTTGTACAACAATTCGCTTAGCGCCATATGATGCAAGAACGTTGCGGATCTTGCTCAGGATAGCAGTTAGTTTTATGTGCTTAAATTATCCGCGTGGGAAAATTCCATGCTGCCCAGAAGTACATGCAAAAAAAGGTTAAGACAAGCTAACAAAAAGCGCAACGGCGTTAGTACATAACGGTTGTGTGTATAAACGAGAAGTCGGTCATACTTATCTGTTTCAGTAATTTGCCTTTGAACTTCAGTTTTGCTTTCTGTCCTGTTCTCCTGGAAACTTCCGCTGTAAAGCTTCTTCTTTTGGTCCATTGACATTCAGACTGTGTAAATTTCTTACGTTATTTGTTCAGATGTTGACTTTGGCTGATTATAACGCCCGGAGCAACTATATTGGCCTTCACTTGAGCGCGACGAGGACCAAAGCGAGTTTCGTTGTCGAAAACACTCCAGTATGCCAACACTGGTTACGGTAAAGGTTGCTAAATCAGATCAGGTCACGCTTTCTTAGATGGAGAATTGCAGTCTTACGTCCGTTCTCATCAGCAAGCGATTCCCAGCTT